ACTGAGGCACACTGAGAATGCTGACGGGCCACTCTCCTCCTTCACGGTTCACTTCTTCTTGATTCATCATGAAATCATTCTTAATTCTGAGACCTACGGGAGCGATGGACTGCAGAATAATGAATACAGACATATGGGTAGTTAATAGACGTTTAGTACAACATTACCACCATCTATAAATAAAGTCTGACATGGAAACATCCACCAGCAACAGCCGCTGCATACGAGACGTAGAGCCTTTTTCTCAGTCTTCTTGCTGTTAGCATGCTCAGCTCTCATGTACATACAACATCAAGTCCCCATGAAGCCTCAGCGAGCTGGTCGGAGGTGATTTTGCTGGTGCTGCATAAAGTGTCTTGGACCTGCTAAAGTTCGGACAAAAGTCAACAGTTAATTGGTTTCTTCAGGTTTCAACGTGAGCGTAGAGCATTTCTGCTGGTTTGGCAGGTTTTCAGCATCGTGTTATATGTACACATAGAGACAAGAGGGGAACGGTGGGATTTAATATTGATTTTCCATCTTGTGAAGGTTGTGTGAGTGTGTGAGACGGGACAGACGGAGGCAGGAACAAGGTGGGAGCAGAGGGAGGAGGCGGGGGGGGGGGACAAGGTGAGCACCCTTTGAGGCCGCACCTCCACACCTGAGGAGTTCTGAAACCACTTTTTTTTTTCAACCTGACGAACATTGCATATTTATTTTTCTCGTGAGCACAGATCTCCCCGATACAATATGATATATATCTATCTATTATGACATATACATATATCATTTATCTCACCTCTGATCAATGTCACCGAGTGGTGCTCATATGCGTACATTCTTAGCTGTCTAGGCGTGAGATTTCTCACCCAATCCGTACAAAAATAAAACATCCACCTGGATCGTTCGAGCAGCACAAAGACCGCCTCTCCTCCGAAGTGCTCTTAGTTCTGGGCAACAGTCTCAACAGAGGACAGCGATAAGTGTCCCCTACAACGTCGTGATCAACGCAACTCTCTTATTTACACAATGCCGAGAACACACGAGCGACGGCGGCCCGCGTCGATCTCCAACAGCCTGAACAAAATCGGTCAAAAGCTTTTGGCAATAAGCCGATTTGGCACTTTGAGCAGCAACATCAATCAGCTCACGGGGCGGCTTAAATATTCTCTACTGAGCTCTTGTTGTGGCGGCGAATGGAATACCCGATTAATTAATATATACAATTAATATTGTGTGATGGGTTACCCCGAGGGAGTCCTCACACTTATCACAAGTCTTTCCCTGGTAAATCCTCCGATGCCCCATGAAACACTGTCAAACAACACCGTGAGGACGAGGGACACCAAGGCAATCCATAAGGCCATCGCTTGGAAAGAGAAACACAATTGTGAAGCCTCAAGGCTGAGGGGAATCCGTGCAGCTCTTCTCCTGAAACATGACCCACTACTACTACGTTGCAGTTTTCTTCTCCTGCAAAGGAGTTACATTCTTCAAGAGAGGAATAACAGAAAGTCTGTGACGGACTTCCGTTGTGCAATGCGGCCTGAAAAGGTGCTTTTGGGGATTCAAACAAACAGAAAAAAGGTTTGATCGGATGCGAAGGCGCTGTTAGCGTAGCGATCACACACACACACAAACGCACGCGGTCCCACAGGGACGGCGACATTAACGTGCACACGCCCGTATACATGCACAGCCATGCCAACGGCTCAGTACGCCACCCAGTCAAGCAGTAAGCACACTGATAAAGCACAGGCATGTGGGCGGAGCAACAAGCAGCCCCCCCCCCACCCCTAAAAGGGTGGATGGTAGCCGGCTTGGATGGGAACCATTTCTGTATGTAAACCAGGAGCCAACTGGGTGAGGGAGAGCTGGATATTGCTCTTAGCATTTCAAGGGCAAACAAAAGCAAGAAAACAACATTGAATCTTTTGTGTTTTCACTGGGTTATGGAAGCCCATTCCTGCCAAAAAGAAGACGGAAATCAGAGTCAGGTCAGATAAAAAATGTCAAGTCAAGCAAGTTAATCAACTTAATGGATCTCACTAATATGAGAAAACTTGTCATCATCTAGACTCGAGTGTACTAACGCGCTCTAATGCTACGACACTAACCTGATGGCAACGGGACTTCCTGCATTGTGGTAATACAAAGCGTTGACTCGTTTACTTCTGGCCCTCTTTTAGAACAAAAAAAAGTTATCTGCTACAAAGCTCGCAATGGTAACGGTAACCATAACGACGGCCGTCTCCCTTGTCACATTGATGCAGATGTTTTCACCGCTCGCCTCATACGCCAACTTTTACCACAATTCAAGCGGTTATTTTCAGTAGCTATTTCTCTCACTTAATCATTAATAAATAACACAACCACCGCAGCCAAACCTACATTCACTCAAGCTAAGCTGCTCATGACTTGATGAGCATGATGACAAGCAAGTGCTTAAAATCCACGTTTGTTCTTCTGCCCGCCTCAGTCCAGATGCTTTGGATTTGGATCTTCATTCCTCTCGTGTCTGATCTTTGGAGACAGAAAGGAGGTTGTGCCGCTCGGCTCCTACCGTCCCCGATCCAAATAGTTTATAATCTAACTGTAATGCTCCTGGTCGTCCACGATGTTGTCTCACTAGGTCTATACAAACATCTGTTGACTGACCCAGGAGGGAGGGGGGGGGTGTCTGTTCTGATACTCTTAGGGCAAAGCACGCTGTAATGATTGTAACGCAATGATATCTGGCGGTATAAATACAATGGACCTTCTTTTCTTTTTCCTGGCGAGATTGGGCTTCCACACAGACGGGTAAAACCACAAGTCAACCAAACGGACGAAAGGCTCTCCCACCTGCACGCATGGAGAAATATGTTTTTGAGTGAGACACGAGGGGCTGACGTAGTGTATGAGGGGGGCCATGAAGCCCGCTGCACACCCGCCCGGAACCGAACACAGAAAAACACAAAAAAGGTACATTGTTGATTGTGAAGTGAGGAGACAAAAAAAAAAGATGAGCTAACAATGTTTTTTTTGTCTAAGGTTCATCATCATTTATTAGAAAATGTTCTTTTACCTGAGAGAATCCTTCAATAGCTTCCTTTACCCAGTCACAAAACGTGGTCGGTGTTTGTGTGTGCATGTGTGGGGGTCCAAGCTGATGCTCTCACAGGTGGGTGCATTTTCAAGGCAATCATGAGATCATTATTTTCCCAAATGTGTAAAAAAAAAAGATCTGCTGGGACGAGAAATACTGCAAAAGATCCAAACACTCGCTTATTGCACAAACTTTATAATTAGTCATTGACTGTCTTTTAGCCTAAAGGCTGCAGCTCTTGTAATAAAAAAACAAACCATTATATGGTGTAAAAAGGCATTTGGCTTGGGTGCAATTTACATTTTCATTCTGTCACAAATATTAGCACCACTTATCGCAGATCGGTTTGGGCCATTCAAAGTGCATTTTAATTAAGTGCTCAAGGACAACTAGGGGTCAGCGGGCCTTAGACGCTCACACTACAAACATTCCACTGATGGATTTCCACCAGATTTCTCTTTAACGTTACATTACAGACCAAGTAAAGCCTCCCACATATTGCAGTAAGATTGAATTTAGGGGCTTGTCTGGATCTCAATCTGTGGCCTTAAAGTTCCACCCACCAGACAATGAGAGCATTGCGTCGAGTAGACGTACTTGCAAACAGCACACATGCACACACATACACGCACTATACAAAGAAACAGCACATCTCGTACAATCCATATTCTCCACAACATCCCCGGTGACCCTCCTACTCATTCTCCGAGACCACGAACTGCTGTGACCCCCCCCGCCCCAGAGGACCAGCTGGCCCGGGGGTTGTCCCGGCCCGTCGCCCCCACACAAAAGAAGCAAGGGTCTTAAGGTCACCGAAAGAACCTCAAGCCAGGCCAAATTTGATTTGGTAAGACGGGTCCCTTGTTGTTACAAGGGGCCCGTCTTCTCGGAGGGAGCGGGGAGGGCGGGGGGGGAGGAATTGCATATACATCGTGCTATTTGCATGTCTTCACAAACTCTACATTTGGCATAAGAGGGGTAGGGGGGTGGGGGAGGGTGGAAACACCATGAACCATGAAAGCAAAAACAAAAAAGAAAGAAACATCACAGACAATCTCCACCCTTGACCAACGTGGTAAACATGTGAGAATAAACCGGAATCATTCAGATCTGTCGAGGAGTCAGCCTTCTAACCCCCCCCCCCCCAAGACGTCTCGCTCCAAAGTGGCCCAGCGAGCGTCCGTGGAAGAAGCCGCTAGAGCTTCGGAGGTACCGGACATTCCCCCGCCCGCCCTCACCACTCGGGTGGGGCGACGCGATCGAAGACCACCGGGGGACGCGTGTCTGTGGGGGGGACGGGGGCTTAGTGTCTTAATTAGGGATCTGCGGCAGAGACCAGATGGGACGAGTGTAACGGGGCCCTGTGTTAAATCTCTGCGGGGTTGTGACCATCTCCTTTGGAGATTGAGTTCTGAGCGGCGGGGGGGGGGGGGGGGTTGATTCCATTTAGTCCTTTCCAACTTTGATGTGAGTGTGTTGCAGCCACGTCAGCTGACATTTGCCGTAATGTATCACCAGCTAAGGTTTGATTAATGTCCCCTCCCCTCCCTCCCAGTTTACTCTACAACTCCCCACCTCTCGCTGCCCTCTTGACCTTTTGACGCCCACATCAATAGTTTGGGAAGGATTGAATGTGATTCCTAGGATGAACACACAACCACAGGCGTCCGCGTGGCGCACGGGGATCTGAGTTCATCTCTTTGCAAACAAGAGGAGGCACAGGGTTCACGATTAATGTCACAGGGCACTTCCGAAATATGGATCGACATGCACATGTGAGAGCGTGCACACGTACACAAACGCATGAAGCGTTACACATACATTGCTTTTTTATGTCTTTTTGTCTCTTGAATGAGGAATGGAGAGGTGAAATTCTACTCTTGTTGCAATAAATCTCGAGTGTTGTATGCATTCTTCTTTTGTATTTACATCCTTTGTTATGGCCAAAATAAAATGAAACGCAAATTATAAAACAAACAGAAAAAACGTAGAAAAATATACGACATTGCACCTTGCAGACGGGCAATATATATTCTCAGTTTTGCAGTTTGTTGGTAACGTCTATGTGACACCACTATCTTTTCTGCTGGCGTGTGGCAGTTGGGTTGTGGGTGCCGTCCAGCACCCCCCCCATCCTGTCAGCTACATTCAACACCGTAAATCTCTCAGCCATTACAAAAGTCATGATCCCTGGGATCATGACTTCCTGGGATCATGATGGTCTCTGGGCCATTCACATTTTCAGTTTACTGTCTACGGACTGTGCCTTTAAGCTGGCAGATGATCTCTAACGTCTCACGACCACATGAGACGGAGCACAGAAGCTTGAGGGAAGTCTTTTTGTAACTTCTATGGATGTGTACACAAAAGCACATATTATCTTGACATAAACCTTTTTAAAAAAATCTATATATGCATTTATGAACTTTCACATGTGCCTGTAAATTAAGACTCCTCCCAAGTTCCTTTGAGTTTTGTGTTGGGTGAGGTATGACAAGATTGTTTGAGTTTTTTTTGTTGTACTTTGAGTTTCTGTTGCATTATTTTTCCCGTTTGTGTTTTTTTAGTAAAAAAAAAATATCTATATCTATATATATATGTATATATATAAAGAAAATCCTGTTTTGTTGTTTGTAAATTCCTTAAAAGTGGACGGACAACTGGACAGACGCACAGACTGACAGACAGGCTTATCAACACAGAGTACAGAGGGAAAAATAAGTGAAATAGTTTCTGTTACACTACACACATGGTCAAAAAGGGACTACAGCTGTTTTTTTCCTTTTTTTACACAGAAGCAGTTTCAGCGTCAAAAAACAGAAAAATAAGAAAACAATGATAAAATGAAAAACCTCTACAATAAGTTTGTTCAGGAGTCTTTTTGTCTTTTGTCAAAAGCTCTTTTCATCTCGTCTCGTGAATTTCCCATCATTTCATATATGTTTCTTTAACTTAACTCTGACTCAGAAGGTAAAGCAGCATTGTGACCCCGACCATCACACACACAGACCCAGTCAGCGCACGGGCACAAAGGACATCGACGCGCTCCTTCTGTTCTTTTTATCAGGGATCTCTTTCTGACCTTTACCGCGGGAGAGCTGGAGGTGTATCCTTTGGGAGGGTTAGGGTCTTTAGGGTTGTGTGGTTGTCGTGGGAACCAAAGGGGAGACCGTACTCATAGCCGCCGCCTCCTCCCCATCCCCGCCATCCCTCTCCTCCAGGCGTCCGATAACATCGCCTCCACAATCATCCCTCTGCGAGGGTCCAGGCCCTCAGCCTGGATTTTCCCCTCGCTTCGATTACTCTCCTCTTACATGCTCTCGCGCCAGCCGCGGGTGCTTCGCCGATCACATTCTTTCGGTGGCGCCGCACTGAGGGGGGTGTCACATGGCCCGCCTTGTCTCACAAGGGCTGAGGCCTGGATCGCTTTTGGTGTCGGTGATTTTCTTTTTTGCTACTCAGCGGCGAGTGGTTATGATCGCTAGGTTGCTCGGAGGAAGAGGAGTGGTGGGGATGGGGGATGTGGGTGGGCAGGGGGGGGGATACAGGAAGGGATGATGGGGAAAAATGAGTGCTACACACCTCTCCAACGGTGGGGGGCGTCCCGCACTGTCATGGCTTGGTTACGCGGCGCGGGTCTAATGCAGACGGCGTCAGTTTGCGGCTGCGCCCACTGCGACTGCCAGCGATCCACCCAATCAGTACCGGCCACGCAGAACCCGCACCAGAAATGTGGCTGTTGGTTTTTGTGGGTTGGGTATACTTTGATGAGTAAGGGGCTGAAAGCGAGGACTACAACAGTAGTGCAATTTGGTCCAGAGCTATGTTCCAGAATGGGGTAAGGCCGAGAAGATGACGGGTCTCTGAAAGTGGTGACAGTGCTGGTGAAAGGGGGCGTAGGGGAGCGGGTCCATCCTCCTCCTCGCATTGCTCCAACGCGTTGGAGCGGTGAGGCTCAGTCCCCGGCGCTGACTACCCACGATGCCATTGAGGTAGGCGACCTGTCCCGCGCCGAGCGCCATCTAATGCTCAGCTTTGAGAGTGGTAAACCAGGTGGATTTGACTTTGCCGCCAGAATTGGAATGAACAGACTGGGCTTTCGTGATCAAATCAACTTTCTTGAATGGTCGTTACAATACGCTACAATAAGCCGCCGTGGCAGGTGGCCGTGAGATTACAGGGGTTGGTTAGCGTCGGTAAAGTGCATGGGACTAAAAGGACTTCTTATTTTACGTCGAATGCACGGCCCATGCATGAAGGACGCGGTGTTTCCATCAAACTATACATCAAGATTTGACGGCAGCCATCGTGGTTCTAATGTGGAAGATCGCCGCGATGCAGAAGAAAACAGCCCTTTCTCTGCAGCCTGATTCTACGGCCGCGGCCACCGAGGTTTGGCTTATTCCCAGTAGTACCCCCCATCTCTGTCATCTCCCACGTGTGCACTGTCCTTCTTTGCATCTGTGAATCTTCCCGTTGCGGTAAAAACGTAAATCCAGATTTCAAAACACAAAACTTGGTCCCGTATACCAAAAACAAAAAAAAGAAAAGCGATACCCGAATGCGATGGGTACCATTCCCTGGAATCGGAAAAAAAACAAAAACATTTCAGTGGAGGGTTGTGTGGGGGGAGTGATGGCTGGCCCTCCTGTTGTCAATGGTATTTCATTTCCACCAAGTGATAGCACTGAGGATGTGTGTGTGTGTTTTTGCGTGTTCAAGTGTTTTTTCTTTTTGTATTTCCGTGACTGAAAGCGTGCACCGGCGTAAATATCACGCACTCCTGTGCGTAAACCCACACGCACGCTAACCTTGAGCGGCGCGTGTGTGTGTGTGTCGGCTGCGGGCAGCTGCCCCGTGTCCACAGAGATGAGGTAGTGCCTGACACCACGTGGGGCCCGGGGGCGTAATCCACTTTTGAGGTAAATGGTAGCCTTTTTTGGCATTTGCCTGTTCTCATGGTAAAAAAAGAAAAAAGAAGAAAAGAAAAAAGGCAAATGCGTATGGAAGCCTTGGAGGGCCACACTGGGCAGTTTTCATGAGGACTCCGTACAAGCCCTGCAGGTAAGAGCTGTGTATCGACACTGCGCACACACGCGCAGTGAATACAGTAAAATGAGGCATTCACGTTACTCTGAGGTGATGTGTGTGTGTGTGCGTGTGTGTGTGTGTGTGTGTGTGAGATGAGCTTTGCCGTCTCGCTGGTTATCGAAAACCTCCTCGAGTGAGAGATTCGTTCTGACTCTGGATCTGACAAGGCAAGTCAGCTCATATACGTGTGTGTGTCTGTGTGTGTGTGTGTGTGTGTGTGTGTGTGTCACAGAAGCCGGTCCAATGACAAAAATCAAGGTAGATATGGAGAAATACTCTGCACAAAAGATAGCCAAAACAATTTCATAAAACTGGAGTAGCCTTGTATAAATATAGCACCGGTTTGTGAGTACAAAGCTTAAAACAGCTGTTAAACGGCTAAGATTGAGTTGAGGAATTGATTAGAGACCAAAGTCGGTTAGCTCTGCTGTACTGCAGCCATTATACACCGAAAGCAATGCTTAGAGCACCTGCTGCCATTTTAAATGTGCAGTGTTTGCTGATTGTGTGTGCATGCACGACTGTGAGCAACAAACACGTCACGCGTGTTCACGTTCTCTAGATTGCCGCCCTAACACTGGTTCAGAAATAATACTGTGCTGGCCAGTGAAACATGGGCTTCAAGAAAGTGAGTAAATCCATGACCGCTCCATCAAAAAAGAACCAGAGCGAGGAGCGAAATCTCGCTGCTCTGTAGAACCGAGGTGGAACGGGCTGAGTGTGTGTATGTGTGTGTGTGTGCGCGTGCGTGTGTTGTGAGTCGACACGTGTCTTGGCTGCAACTCTTACTAGATAAGACAACATGCTCAGACAGAAGGGCCCCCCACATAGATTTCAAAAGTCGAAGGAGGAGAAAGAGCTCGACTCTCCCGTTGCTGGTGTGTTGTTCCTGTTACTGTCTGCTCAACTTGTTTCTTTCTACGTACTGTAGACGATGTCGATGCGATGTCGGAGAAATGCAGAGAGGCGTCTCCCTCCAGAGTTTTCCCCCTCACCCGCCCCCCGGCAGTTTCACACCTCCTGGTCCTCGAAGACCTCCAGGAAGAGCGGGGGGAACAGTTCGTTGGGACACTCCACCTTCATGTGAAGGAAGCGGCTGGCGTGGCACGCCCCGATCATCCGCAGGTCGGTCACCTTCATCAGCAGCTTGGGCCAGAAGTGAGGAATGTTGTGCTTGCGGTAGTTGATGTAGTGCTCGAACGCCAGCAGGTAGGTCTCCTGGCACTTCTCGATCTTATCCATGCAGGTCAGGCCCGAACGATCTGGTGATGGAGGGGGAATGATCAGCTCAATGGAATTTTTTTAAACTGGTCTGGACTTGGTGGTAAAGATTTAAAAAGTGCTTTGTAGACCATCTACATCTCTCGTCATATGAGAAACAGCTCTCTACAGGTATGAATGTCGCTTTCACAAAGAAACTCTGGGTCTCCCAGGAAAATGAAATGAAGAGGAGAGCGCTTTTCTTTCCCGATATCTTTTCCTTCTCTTTGCAGTTCTATCCCCATTCGTATGATGGTACTCCCCACGGTTACACGCATATTCTCTATTTGCATTCGGTTATTTTAAAACCCAGAGCACGTGACATGTGTCCTAAACCCCCCCCCAAAAAAGTTTCTGCAGGGAGCAAACTGAGTGTGAAGGCTTTTTAATCACATTTAGGGAGATATTTCCCCTTCACTTAACACTGAATATGTATGTGGACTTTAATCTTCAAGCTATGATTACATTCTGACTCACAATAGCCGGCAGGACTGGAAATGTACCTTTGCATTGTATCAAGCCCCAGACTACCACCTCACAGGACGTTTAGAGAAAGGAACAACAACCTGAGCTCATGAGCAGCACGGCCTGCAGCAGCGCCACCTCCGTGTCGTCCAGGTTGAACTGGGCCAGGCTCTTGCCCAGGTCGAAGATGGCGTCCGACACCACGCCGAGGCCGCCGTTCTTCAGCTGCTCGCGCTTCACCGCCATCTCGCCGCTCAGCGTCAGCGTCTCGCTCTCGGGGTCGTAGCGCATGGCGGCTCGCAGCGACATGATCTCCATGCAGCAGCCCTTCAGCAGAATGATCTGGTCTTCACAAGGAAGCTGGAAGATTATGTTTAATGCTGGATTATTGTGACCTAAACATTTGTACTTCAGTGTCTGTCTTTTATTTTAGAGAAGTGATGGAACAGCAGTTGTGGGAGAGCGGTTTCTGACACTCGCCACGTGTTTTAAAGAAGCTATTTCTAAAGAAGCAGAACTATATTTGTGCAACACTTAAAAAAAAAATGTTTTTAGAAAATGTCAACATTGAAGATAGCAATAAAGATATAGTACGTGGTTTGATAAGAACATTGTTTAGTAGACTTTTAGAGTTTAGACCATAAACGACAAATTAGGCCGACGCTCCACTACAAAAGAACAAAAACACACAACATCACTCACATAATTCCCCCAGAGCAGAAAATACACACAGAAACACACAAAACAACACAGGGATCAGAGGAGGAGCTGAGAGGGAACAAAGGAGAATGCAGAGCTGCTGGAGGGAAGGAACACGGTTGTTTTCTCCACTAACAGACACAGATTCGGATTAATACGCCCCGATTTTTGTGGATATTAGAATCTTTTAGAATCTTTTGTATTTCACTGATCAGATTAATTGGCATTAATTGGCTTGATTTGTCTTTGTAAATTTGTACCTGGAGGGCACGCTTCATTTTTAGGGGCTTAATAAAAGCTGGCTTTGTGTATCTGGCTCCTTCGTGTATCTAATACAATCTATATTGTGAGTGAAAGATAACACATTAGACGTGACTGATTACCTGCTACGGTGTCTGCAATACTAAAATCTATCTGCTTATCTGTTGTTGTTTGGTTTCCTCACTTAAATGATTTGAATGTCCAGTGTTAGGAGTTTATATCCTAGTTTACGCCCTCCTTTGAAATGAATTAGCATCCATCGTCATGGTAACATTAAGAATAAAATAATCTGAACAAATTCAACTTTTTTTTATAAACACCAATATAAAGAAAATAAAAAGACCCATGTGAATTATGTTCTCAAAAACAGCTTTTCCTCTCACGCTCTTTCTCACACGCACACGCGCACACAACTACACACACACACAGCAGCTGTCCCCACTGGACAATAAGTCAGCTACCCGGATAATGATCTAATCTCGTGTCTCATTACACGAGCAGAGACAACAAACGTGATTACACGTTGCTGATTGAGGCGCGGCCGGACATAACGGTATCATTTATTAGTACCATGTACTTTATAAAGTCATAAAATCATTCATGCCCCTTTTCTTATTCTGGGCCGAGAGTGCGTGTTGAGACTCCTCGCCACTCACCCCGGAGAACATGGGCAGCTTTTTGGCAAAGTCGACGACACGGGTGATGGCAGGAGTGATGATCTTAGTGAACTCGCTGAACGCCTCCAGGTCCACCTTGTCGCCGTCTGACGTCGGGGCGACCGGGGATTGGCCGATTTTTTCTGGCTACGTGAGGAAAATAAAAACATGGAAGATTAGAGACAAAAAAAAAAGTTTTTTGATACAGAAAAGGTGGTTTTGTTTGTCAATCACAACAACACAAGAAAATATGCAGACTTTTGCTGTCTTTTTAGGTGTTGATGACCGAAGAGGCCATAAAGAAAAGAACAAAGAACATGGGCCGCACTACTATACAACAGGGGAGAACAACACAACAAGCCACGGTCGAGAGGAGTTTTTTTAAATTGAGAGCCCAGAAGAGTGAAATAAGATCATAGAGGAATCAATAAGAGCATTGTGGGGTTTGGGGAACAACACGGTTTTAAACTGTTTTTATAGCCTTTCTACAAAGTGCTCGCTGGCCTTGGGAGACAAATTAAAATCAATTTACCAGATAAGGACGGTGGATTGTGCTCTGTAAGAGGGATGGGAAATGTCACCCAATTTAGTGCTTACTTAGAGGAGGACTGTGTGTGTGTGTTTGTATGTGTGTGTGTGTGTGAGGGGGAATCAGTAACACACATGTTTACGGAGCTGTGTGGATCGAGGCAGAGACTATGAAAAACGATGTTTCACGCTCTGCTAAATAAGGCGAGTTGACGTCAAAGTTGTTTATTCAGGTCGGGTCAAGATAAAACAATTTTCACCTCGCGGCAGGAACCAGCGGTCATAATCCAGAGGGGGAATTAGCACAATTTATGGACAACGTCAATAAACACAGTCGTGACTTTGATGGAATGCAACTCTGGAGCCAAAACCAAGCTTTGGTTTCACTCGACATTTAGCGTCTCTGCGTACAGAAGCCGAGCGGACCGAGCGGCTGAGGTTCAGAGACATGAAAGAGTCTTTAGCTCAAGTCAGAAAGGGACAAATCGACCCCACGGAGAACACAGAGAAGGCGGATTATGTCTTTGTTGCTGTACAGGCCGGTTGGTTTGGGGACATTACATTACATTACATGTCATTTAGCTGACGCTTTTATCCAAAGCGACGTACAATAAGTGCATTCAACCATAGGGTACAAACTCAGGAGAACAAGAAACAAGAAAGTGCAATTTCCTAAAATAAGCCAATTTACAATTTGCTATAGATGAGTGACGTTACAAGTACAATTTAAGTGCTACAATTTGTTAGTCTTTAGTCGAGGTGGAGTCTGAAGAGGTGTGTCTTTAGTTTGCGGCGGAAGATGTGAAGGCTCTCTGCGGTCCTGGTGTCTTCAGAGAGCTCGTTCCACCATTTTGGCGCAAGGACAGCGAAGAGTCGAGACCTAGTCGAGTGTTTTGCTCTCAGTGAGGGAGGGACGAGTAGTTTTGCAGATGCAGAGCGGAGAGTGCGGGTTGGGATGTTGGGTTTGACCATGTCCTGGATGTAAGCTGGACCCGATCCATTCACAGCATGGTACGTGAGCACCAATGTTTTGAACTGGATGCTGGCGGCCACCGGTAGCCAGTGAAGAGAGCGGAGGAGTGGAGTAGTGTGGGAGAATTTCGGAAGGTTGAAGACCAGTCGAGCTGCTGCATTCTGAATGAGCTGCAGAGGTCGAATGGCGGTGGCAGGGAGACCAGCCAGGAGGGAGTTGCAGTAGTCCAGGCGGGAGATGACAAGAGCCTGAATCAGTACCTGCGCTGCCTTCTGAGTGAGAAGGGGACGTATTCTCCTGATGTTGTAGAGCGTGTATCTACAGGATCGCGTTGTCGCGGCGATGTTGGGAGTCAGGGAGAGTTGGCTGTCGAGTGTGACGCCGAGGTTCTTAGCGGTCAAAGTGGGCGTTAGTATGGAGTTCCCAAAGTTGACTGTCAGGTCCTGGGTAAGCAAATCTTTTCCGGGAAAGAGAAGTAGTTCAGTCTTGTCGGGGTTGATTTTCAGATGGTGGGCGGACATCCACTGAGAGATGTCAGTTAGACAGGCAGAGATCCGAACCGCCACCTGGGTGTCCGAGTGAGGGAAGGAGAGAATTAGTTGGGTGTCATCGGCATAGCTGTGGTAAGAGAAGCCATGCGAGCAAATGACAGCGCCAAGAGAGTTGGTGTAAAGCGAAAACAGGAGGGGACCCAGCACGGAACCCTGAGGAACTCCAGTAGTAAGAGGACAAGGTTTCGACACAGATCCTCGCCAGGTTACCCGGTAGGTGCAGCCATCGAGGTAGGACGAGAGAAGGGAGAGTGCAGAGCCTGTGACACCAAGACACCTCCAAGGGAGGAAATAAGGATCTGGTGGTTGACCGTGTCAAATGCAGCAGAGAGGTCCAGAAGGATGAGGACAGAGGAGAGAGAGGCGGCTCTAGCAGTGTGGAGCTCTGAGACAGCAAGGAGAGCAGTCTCTGTGGAGTGGCCTGCCTTGAAACCTGACTGGTGGGGGTCAAGGAGGTTGTTACAGTGGAGATAAGAGGAGAGTTGATTAAAGATAGCACGTTCAAGGGTTTTGGACAAAAAGGGAAGAAGAGAGACCCGTCTGTAGTTGTTTTCTTCAGAAGGGTTGAGGGTGGGTTTCTTCAGGAGAGGGTTGACTCTTGCCTCCTTCAGAGAATTGGGCAGCCACGGAGCCGGAGGGGATTTGCCAGTCCGTTGTGTCGTAAGAGGGCAGAGAGAGTCTAGAGAGGAGGAAAGAGTTGAGAGGAGAGTCTCTGCAGCAGCGTTCGGATGCAAGAGTGAGAAGGAGTCAGTTGAAGGGAGAGCTGATAGAACCCAGGTGTTCTCAGGTGTGATCCAGGTCTCGGTCAGAGCGAGGAAGTCGAGTGACTGCTGGATAGCGAAGCCGGCCGGAGATGAAGTCAGCCTTGCGAGTCGCTGACTGGCAGTTCCAGAGACCTCCTGTGACGAGGTGCTGGACATGTGTGGAGCGGGTGGGATAGGTGAGAGAGGAGAGGTTACGATAGAGAGCAGATCTGGCCCGAGGCCTGTAGTATCTGCGGGAAGAGATTCGAACAGGCACGGGTAAAGGGGTCAAACACATTATTAAAAATAGCAGAAGAAGGGGCCATGAACAAAATAACTCAATGTAGTTAAAGCATTCCTAAGGAAACGCTCTTTCGTCACGTAGAGAATGTAAGAACCAACAGCGCACGCCGGGAATTTGGCAATCGGTGGCGAGGAGAAAAAAGGGGGGCGAGAAACTTTTTCGCTGCGGTCTCATCAGTTTCGTGGGGAGCTTCAACTGTTGACCTTTCATCTGATGGATTAGTGCTGGAAAGCTTCCCACTAGAGCCGGGGAAGAGAAATGAGCATTTCATCTGGCTCGGATGTTTATACCACAGTGCTGTGAGCGGATACCGAACGTGATTAATGAAGATAACAGTATTAAGCGTTTTGTCTTACATCATAGGAATAGAAGCAGTGGGTGGGGGGGTGATGATTTAAGACATTCCGACTCCGACCAAACATAAACGTCTGAATCTCATGTCATTTCACACGCATAAATCGTCGGGTAATGATGTGCTCAAATTGTCTGCACAGAATGTGGTGATAAGATCGTCTTTGCGAGTCTGCATCATGCTGATGTATTCAGACGTTCAATTCTGAATGTCTGCACTTAACCAAAAACCCGTATCCTAGAGGCACCGAATAACAGTCAATATCTGACTTTTCCATTTAGTCTCTGCACGCGTTGTTTACCTCGTGGGGCTCAGACCTTCATTGAAAACAGGACATCTTGAAAAGCGGCCTGGTCTAAATTAAAAAAACCTGCGTGGACTGACCTCTGATTGGAGGATAGAAGTTGGATAGTTGCCAACATGTTGGTACGTAATGAATAGGAGGAAATTCACAATTTTGGTAAGAACTTGTAAATGCATTCAACGTGCACATGGAATAAATTAATAAATGAGTTTGTTAGTGCGGGGGCATTTGTATATGATCTAATAAGTCACGGCTAACTCTCTGAAAGCACAATAACAAAGTAAACACAACATGGATAGTCGGCTCAACGTCTCCAGCGGAGGAAAATCAACCAAAGATTCACATGTGACACGAAGCTCAGAAACTTCACTTCACTTCACCCCGAGCTCAAAGCTTTCACACCCACTCACCCTTTTCATCCTCATCATCCCATCACCCGGCCAAGTCATTTCTGTTGCCTAGCAACCCGTCCCACAATACTTGCCATCAATCCCTCTCCAGAATATTCCCCCTCATTATCGCCCCACTGCAAACACATTTTTATTAACCGTATTACAACGAAGCCCCTTTTTATCTCCAATGCAGCTGAGAAGCTGTTGACGAGTGTCAAAAACTTTGTGGGCACCTCAGATAATCCAGGGCCAAAACACGCGGCCACTCGGCATCCGTCGGCACTTGCGCGTGTTGGTGGAAGCCCGATACCGGCCCGGGCTGTCAGAGATTAACTGGGAGCACTCGCGCAGCAGGAGGTCAGCTTGAGAGTGAGAGACAGTCTGACTGGCAACCTGCCTGCCAGCTCACAGCGAGCGCTCGCCACCAAGGGATTTGCCTCGGCTGAGATAAGAGCGGAGCTCCCCAAAAAGTAGAAGGGAAAGAGAGGGTACAGACACATAGGCTCAGCGAGAGAGGATGACAACTGTGAAGGAAATTGTGTCCGGTTAAGAGCGCAAAAGGATTACGATGAATAAACCCCCTCAATAAAGGCACAGGCAGCATAAAGTCATGAGGAGCCACTCTCACAGTCAGTAAGGTGAAAAAAATAGACTGTAAAACGAACCACATCATTTGTGAAAAAGCGCGTGTTTGTATGAGGATATAATCCAGATGTTCGGTTCTGATGTTCTGGTTCTCATGGGGTTAAACAGCACAAAAAGAAGCACAACCCAGTTTGCAGTGACGGGCTGGATGGGTGTTTTTGTACTAAAGGGAGGACTGTCCTTGACCACAAAAAATTCCTCGTTAACTCACTGATTTACGAACGCGCAAAAGCGCCACTTTAAATCTTCTGTTCCCCAGAGACGTAATTCAACTTGAAAAAAGCATAAAAAGTACTAAACCAAACCACAGACATCTTAGTGGACTAAGAGCAACCCGACAAAGCGTTTATGTTGCTGCTGAGCTTTTAGCACTGCCTTGTTGTTTCGGTCTGCAACAACTCTTCGGCCAATGTTCCTCTCTGACATGACAACTATGAACTCACCAGAATAACGATGGAGATAAAACGTTAAACAACGTTCATTTGGAGGAGAAAACCAAAGGTAAAAACTACGCTACACAATCACAAAAACAAGGGAGTATAGGCACCTACTTCATGAAGGAGAGCAACCCTGCAAATACTGAAAAAGTCTTTAGCGGGAGACAATAAACATGTGCTTTCTACTCTAAACACCACCTGGGGATACAGTGGGCGTAGCTAGTGGATGAATGCTTGAAATTAAAATGAAATTGGGGAAATTCATCAAGGCTGTTCAGTCACAGAGAAAAAACAGTGAGAAGAGGAACTTTCAACAACAATGACAATAATAACCCTGTCATCAATGTGCTTCCAGGCTGATGGCCGGTTCTACAATGTACGCAACTTCCTCACCAGGAATTTGCGCTTCTGTTTCCACTGAGCGCCTTGAGCGTTGGTGTGCCGGTGGGCCTCCGTCACCAGGTGGATCACCTCCCACTCGCCATCGGTGGGCTCTGGACGGTTCTGGAGGGTTTTCACTATTTCCTCCTTCTTGCGTCGCTGCCGGTTCTCTTCGATCAGACGCCGCTTGGCCACCCGCTTTGAGTCGTCCAGCACCACTGGGAGGAGACGGCGGGAGGACGGGGGAGAGGAAAAGGCAGAGAGAAGGAGGGAGGAAAAAAAAGAGATATATAATTAGTTTGAGTGTTGCTTTAAGTCTGAGTACATCATGTGGAGCTTCTGCTTCTGTGTGATACATCTGTACAACCCTTGTATTAAAAAGTCCAGCCAGCACACACATTACATTACAGTATCCCCCCCATCACTGGCAGCACGGCTTTGCCATATTAAGTCCAAACACCACTCACAGTCCATGGCCATGCCCACCGCGATGCACTTCTTGAAGCGGCACAGCTGGCACTGGTTGCGGGTGATCTTGTCGATGATGCAGCAGCCATCGTACTTGCAGGAGTAGCTGGGATGGAGGTTCTTCTGAATGGTTCTTCGGAAGAAACCCTGGAAAGGCACCCAGAGAGACGGGTCTGTGATGTTTGAGATGTTTGCAGAGAGACGGGTCTGTGATGTTTGAGATGTTTGCAGAGAGACGGGTCTGTGATGTTTGAGATGTTTGCAGAGAGACGGGTCCGTGATGTTTGCAGAGAGACGGGTCGTGATGTTTGAGATGTTTGCAGAGAGACGGGTCGTGATGTTTGAGATGTTTGCAGAGAGACGGGTCTGTGATGTTTGAGATGTTTGCAGAGAGACGGGTCCGTGATGTTTGCAGAGAGACGGGTCGTGATGTTTGAGATGTTTGCAGAGAGACGGGTCGTGATGTTTGAGATGTTTGCAGAGAGACGGGTCTGTGATGTTTGAGATGTTTGCAGAGAGACGGGTCCGTGATGTTTGCAGAGAGACGGGTCCGTGATGTTTGCAGGCGAAAGGGAGCGAATGCTCCTGAGTCAAGCTTTTAAATTACCTGCTCGATTGAACCAATTCAGACAACATTTGGTCTTTACCTGCCCACCAAATCCAGGGCAATTAGTCTGAACATCATGGATTTTTATCCTATAAATATTACACTCAAACGTCTAGAGTGAAGAACTATTGGCAAATTAAAGTTAAATTATTTGCATGAATGTAGACCCTTTTAAAGTCATTGCAATTAAACGGCATCATAGCACTCAGGGGGGCTCTCAGGGACCCCAGAACCACTGTAAGGATACGAGTACACTCGACTCAAGAAGTCTAGTCCAGTGTGCAAAACCAACTGTGCCAAAACAAGTAGGTGGTCCGCTATTCAAGAATGTGTTGCCGTAAATACGAGACAGCCTCTAAGAGATTTCTTAGATCGCCTCTCCTTCCCCGTACCGATGGATTTGTGATTTATGTGAAAACACCCTTTAATCACGACACGCCTTGGATATCACGGCTCTGGGGCTCTGGGGTTGTGAGAGAGTGTGTGTGCGTGTACCTTGCAGCCCTCGCAGGTAATGCAGCGGTAGTGGTAACCCGTGGCCTTGTCACCACACACCACACATGGCTCATCCTTTTCGAGGTAGCTGGGGATGTACCCTGAGAGAGAGGGAAGCCAGGGCAAACAATATGACACGTGTTGACATCATTGATCCAACATTGGAATCCCGCTCACACTGAATCCACTTCACCTTCTGGTCACATCACTGCTCCACTACAGCTACACACATTATCTCCACTCATCACCACAGCGGCCGGCTGGGAAGAAAGACACCATCCGTCTCCACGGGATGATGAAACACAACATTCTCCAAGTTTTAGATGTCCTATGTGGATGTATTGATTTTTCTTGGCTAATAATAAGCTTTCTACGGGAGCCCTGAAAGGGAGTTGAGGAAAAATAATCCAGTGATCCATTGTTGGTGTTTTTCTCTCCTTTCCTGTCTCCTGTTTTCTTTAAAATATATATATGTATATTAATAAGTCACCCTTTTCATTGGAATTGATTTTCTGTCTTGGCAATTTTTAATTTATCAAACCAATGTACATCGTTTGTTTAAACATGTCTGTAAAAAAGAGGGTTTTAGTAATAATAAGAGTAAGAACATTGGGTGGTGGTGCATTTAGGCCTCTTGTGGAGTATAAAATAATAAACAGCAACATAAATTCCACGGCCAGATTATTTCACTTTCCGCTTGTTTAAGAATTATTTAATTTCAAAACCATGATTTAAAACGTAGTTGGATTTTTATGCTTGTCAGGCCTTAAGGACACACATGTTGGTGATTAACTCTGAATGTAAAAACTGCTTTTATTTATTTATACAAAAAAACAGAGCACCTTTAAAAAGGTCCACGGACTTGGGCAATATTCCAGGCACACTTTAGTTAATTCTTCAACACCGACAAAATGTCCTGAACCGAACCCTTCACCGGGCCTTCTTTCAGAACACAGAATCTGTGATCCATATTTGTAAACCAAAGAGAATCCCGATGGGATGGGATGGAAATGCGCCCTTGACTCAATAAACAACCGCTGCATGTCTCTCGGGGCTCCGACAGGTGAGCGGCTTTCGGTTTGAATTACCCTTTAATCGGTCAACGTGCCTTTGGCACTGGATAACAACTGTGTGTAAAGTCTTCCAATGTTTTCTGGAGAAGTAAAATGTAAATGTTACGTAAGCTTGATTTTATTCATTTATCTTCTTCCAATCGCATTTACCAACACGCCTCAAATCAACGAGGTCACACCGTTACTGATTCGGTCTAAGATGTCACGAAAATGGGCTTAATAATAAGGTATGTGGACACCACTGCTGATCTAAATGAACATTTGTTCATAAATTGTTCGCTCTCTTCTTCCTCCCTCTACGATTCTCTGCTTTTAACTCTGCCCTGTGAGTCACGACTTAATAAAGAAACGTGTGCCGTGTGTATGTTGAGACTTGGCGAGAGCTGTGACTGGCAGCGCCTCCTGATTTTACATCCGAGACTGTAAACATTGACGACGTTGAGCTGCTGACTCAACAGCTGTTGCACAGGAGAGGCTCCGCCCACTAGCGCAGCGTAAAGCGTTCCTCAAGTGGCACTCAAGATAAAAGAGGTCCCCCCGCATCTATAAAAACAGGCTGCATCATCATTGTTTTTTTTATGAATTATTTTGATGTAAAATCGTTAAGTTTATTGACCGGTAGGAACAATGTCCTCACGGAGGAATCCTTTTTGCGTTCTGAGACGGTGTAAATGGGCAAAAGAGGTAGAAAATAACACAGCTGGAATGCTGTCGCATGTCAAATAATCTTCTGCCTCTCAACTAATTGATTCATTAATCATTTCAACACTGGACTTGATTCACGTAGTCTCGGAGTAAACTAGAATTTGTAATCACCTCGACACGTACTCGGTCTGCTGCGGTCTGACTTGTACGCCTCTTTAATAAATCAGGACTTTGCACGTGAACTCTCTCGGGCCCCGATGAAGCATCTGCAGTCGGGTTCAGGCTCCGCTCTCCCTCAGGAAAACGCTGACATCATTACAGTGCATGAAATTCAATCTCACGCAACCAGACGGACGTATTGTCGTCCTATCCCGGTGGAAATGGACCGTGGCAGATACAACATATTACACAGTTTCAGCGGCGACGCGGAGAGGAAGACAACAAGCCTGCTGCGAAGGTAAAGAAGCAGAGAGGACCGGCCTTGGGAGATTTACAAGTGGCAAGATGACAGTCCTGGGGCCTACCTCTTCTACATCACTCTCTTACCTTCTTTACTCGCTTCTTTCAGCTCGAGGGATTTGGAGCTGTCACTCGGAGAATGTGCTGCGTCCAACAAGAAAGCAGACAGAAGACAAGGGTTTAGTCATGACGGACGCCAAGAGGTTTTACGTTTTCCTCTAGGTGACAAATGAATCGAACGCGAGGTGTACGGGGGAAAGCAATGAATCATGCACCACTGGCTCGCTCACTCTGGTACGACTGACAGCGACAAACAAAACGTTGGGACGGCCATTTCTTTAATGGTTCCCTGCATTTGGAGAGCTTTTATTCTCCAAAATTCAGACTTCAGGTATGAAAGTGCTGTTTTGTTTCCTTGCTGCGACTGAAGAGTGGCTTCGGAAAAGTGTACCTCTCCACCAATCCCCCCCATCGGTTACTCACCAGTCATACTCTTCAAGGAACATTGGCTGTTCTTCCTCTTCCTTTTCGGGCCATTGAGCCACCTGATGAGAAAAGAGGAGGGACAGAGAAAGAGTAAAAGTAAATAAGAAGACAAATTGCTTTGTTATTAACTATTATTAGTGGAGAGTAGTCTCCACTATTTGCAGCTACATCAAACTGCCTAAAAAAAGGTTAGGGAAGAACCGAAGCACCGATTTCCTGGACGAGCCACGTTTGTTCACAAGTAGAAAGCTTATTATCATCACCAGGTGTACATACAAAAGCCTGTGATTAGCTGGCCGTTTCCAGGTAATGCATCCCGAAAAAGATCAAATGTTAAACACCACCATGTAAATGAGGTCCCTGACAACAACAATGAAGCAAATAGTGAGGAGAAATGTAGTAAGCTCATAAATACTGGACAGACTTAGCCGTAATTGTCTCAATATCCTCCTGTATCAATGTGCCAACTTAACACCAGATACTAAAATTAGTTGGAAAAATCAAAAACAAAATAGGGGCATGGTTTGCTGCCGCAATACAGAATCAAGCAGGAAATCAATATTGTGTTGATTTTAGTTATCAGCAACTGGGTATGAAATTGTCCTAAAACTGCAACCTCCCAAATGAACACCAGGGGGTGACTCCCCTGATCTTATACAAGTCTCTGAGAAAATGACTTCTCTCTTTATTTATTTCCTCAGGAAACATTGTAAATATGGGTTTATGGTTTTGATCTCTAGTCTTCTCCAATGCAGCATGACATCCTTTCAGTAAATTATCCACCTTCTTTTATGAATAATGCAAAAAAGATAAGATAATCAAGGTCAAAACATTGAACCTGAGGATTTAGTCAACGGGTAACGTCCACCTCTCATATCCATCCATGTCTATCGGGCACACATGCAAAAAAACAAAAACAATAACACAAAGACCGCAACTCTATGTAACAGGTGGAACCAACCAGGAAAAAGTTACATTTAATATGTATGTATTTAATTTGAATTTAGAACAATTATTTCACACAAACATTTCTCACTGCTCCTGACCATACTCTAAACAGAGACACCTGTCCTACTCACCGGTGAGTTTCTTCTACTGAGAGGGGCATATTAACCAGAACACAAAATACCAATGCCCCGTGCCGACACACACTTAACCTACTGTGGGTAACGACACTAACAACATATTTGCTTAGATGCAATAAATTCCAGGTCAAGCTTAACACTCCTAAATAAATGCAAAAAAAAACAAACCACCGTCAGTCAGTGGCAGGGGAGAGGGGGGGGGAAGAGGGCAGGTGAGCTCCAGGCACATCGAGAACTGTAGTGGCGAGATGGCGGACTGTCCTTGTTCGCTGGCGTGGTGAAGCCTTCGACGTTGGCGACGAGCTAACAACCACCGCCATCCTCTTCTCTGTCGTTTTTCGTCTCCTCCTTGTCCCGCCCCCTCCACTCTCTCCATTCGCCAGCGCACCAACTTTCCAGTCACTGATTGGCTGGACCTGTGGCCAAGTTCTGTGGTGCTATTGGGTGTGGAACTTAGGATTGATGTCCCAAAGCAATTGCAAGGGCTGCATATAAATAAATATGTCCACACTCTGGATGTACCCCTACATTCCCGCTTTTCAAACATCATAGACCTTCCTACAAATTGGGCTCCCTTAGAAGTCCAAAGACAACATGCTCTCTTTTTCATTTTTTTTATACCCATCAATAACAGAGGTAGACATGTACCTTTCAGCATACAAACTCAACTTCAATATCACACACATTACATGAAATCAATACACACAAACAAAATGAAACACTCATTTGGGTACAAAATCTTTAAACCTGCTAGGGAACTGACCTCTGGTGCTTCTGTGGGGCCTGACAGGCCTCTGACTAGCCTGACTGTCATCCCCAGATCTTTCTGCCTCATCTGACTGTGCGCCCCTATGCGTGCTTCCCTCCCCAGTGCTTGGAATCCCACCCTGTTCGCTCTGCATATTCCTAACTTCCTCCCCATCAGTGTCAGCGGTGTCGTCTTGAGAGCTATGGTGGGGATATGTATTGCAAGCGTGTCGTGCATGGGGATAGCTACGGGGAATACACACTATGTCATGGGCATCCGACTCTGAATCGTGGTATGTGGGTCTACGCTCTCGTGTGGGGTTGGCTGGCATAGGGGTCTCAAAGACGCAGGGTTTCATTTGATCCCTATGTACCATCTTGGTAGGGCCACCAGCCTCAGGCTTGACAGTATACACAGGCATGTCTGGATGGTTCTGTGCGATGACAAGATAGGGGTCTGGTTCCCACTTATCCTGGATTTTCTTCCTGCCACGTGGTTTATGGTTCCTCAGCAGAATTCTGTCTCCAGGACGGATAAGTGCACCACGTGCCGCCGATCATACAGCCTTTTGCGTCGCTTGGAGGCATCTTGCGTCGCTGCCCTTGCTGCATCCGCCGCCATACACAGTCTCTGATGATGATTTAGCACCCAGTCATCCAGATTCTCTGCCCCACTGTCGTCAAAATCCATTCCCCCAAGGATATCTCTGGGCAGTCGTGCATCTCTTCCAAAAAGCAAATAGAACGGAGAGTAACCTGTAGATGAATGAATGTGGCTATTGTATGCCATCACCAAAAGTGCTCTTTCCAGTTCCTCTTCTTGTTAGCTGGGAAAGACCATGTCGTGCATAGTGCGATTGAATCTTTCGCACTGGCCGCTTCCCTGCGGGTGGTAGAGCGTTGTTCTGCTTTTGGCAATGCCATATACATAACATAGCTCTTTTATCACGCCGGCCTCGAAATTGCGACCTTGGTCGCTGTGCAGTCGGGCGGGACACCCATAGCAGGCAAACCAGTGTTTGACTAAAGCGGCAGCTGTGGTCCGAGCCGACTTTGGAGGGCACGGCCACAGTAAATCGCGTGAACATATCCGTGAGGACCAGGACGTTTTCATATCCACCAGTAGATGGCTCTAGCAAGGTATAGTCCATGGCCAGGACCTCTAGCGGGACCGTAACATTGCTGCAGACCATTGAGGCCTGCTTCTTCGGGAATACATCTTTGGCTAGAATGCACCTTTTGCACTTCTGCAAACATACCTGGACGTCCTTGGACATTGAAGCCCAATAGTACCGCCTCTTCAACTTTGCCGAAGCGCCCTTCACACTAAAGTGACCACCATGGTCATGGTGAGATTCCTAAATGGGGTGCTGTAGCGGCTTGGGCACCATCAGCTGACAGATGTTCACCCCGTCACGTGGATCTTGCAAGTCTCTGACCAGAACCCCCTGTTAGATTCTCAAACGTTCCCACTGTCCACACACTTTCCGCTGTGACAGGCTCATGCCTCGCGACTGTTTCTTGTTAGGCCTCATACCCATCTTCCCAGCCTCCGCTATGGGTCCCAGATCCTGGTCCTTCATTTGGAGTTCTTGAACCTCGTCCCAACTATAACCACAAACTCTGGTTCTTGGGGTGGCCTGCACAACCTGGACCTGTCCTGCTTCCTTAGACTGGTCTTTACGTGCAGGCCACAAGCTGGCTCTCACTTCATCTTCCACAAGCTGGCTCTCACTTCATCTTCTCTGATCACCAGGAAGTCTTTACCAGTGTCTTCGGTCTCTGGTTCGATAGTCACAGGTAGGTGGGATAGCACATCAGCATTCTGGTTAGACTTCCCTGGCTTATAGTGGACCTCGAAGTTGAATTCCGCTAACTGGGCCACCCACCTTTGTTCAATGGCCCCGAGGTTAGCGATCTATAAATGCCGGAGCGGGTTATGGTCCGTGACCACTGTGATTTTGCATACATTAGCAAGTCACGGAATTTCTCTGTGACGGCCCATTTCAGCGCGAGGAGCTCTAATTTAAATGCGCTGTAATTTTTATCACTCCGCTCCGAGCCCCTTAGGTCCCGACTTGCGTATGCGATCACACGCTCAACGCCATCCTGACGTTGGCTTAGCACGGCTCCAAGCCCCTGGCGACTTCCATCGGTTGTTACTATAAACGGAATCCGGTAGTCGGGGTAAGCAAGCACGAAGCGAGCCATCAAGCATGCTCTAAGCGTATCAAAAGCTATTTGACATGCTTCACTCCATGAAAAACACTGGTGCTGCGCTCCCCTGTCCCCTTTTTTAAAGGTGCCCATCAGGACGTGTAAGGGCCTAGCCATCTGTGCAAAGTGGGGGACGAAGCGGCGGTAATAGGACATGAACCCTACCACCTGTCTCACATCTCTAGCAGAACTGGGAGTGGGCTAATTCTCCAGGACGCTGACCTTCTCCATGTCCACTTGGACCCCTGCTGCGGACACAACGTGCCCAAGGAACTTAACCTCTTGGCTAAGGAGGAAACACTTCTTCGGATTCAACTTGAGGCCATGGTCCCAAAGACAACTAAATACAAGGTGAAGTCCTTGGAAAATACCAACACATCGTCCAAGTAGACAAGCAGAACATCGAATGCTAAATCACCCAGGACTGATTCCATGAGGCGTTGGAATCTTACTGGGGCATTGCACAGCCCAAATGGCATACGTGTCCACTGGAACAGTCCGAACGGCGTCGTCACTGCTGTCTTTTCCTGGTCTTTCTCAGCTACCTGGAAATACCCTGAAGTAAGATCTAGCGAAGAAAATAAGCGTGCCTGGCCCAAAGCATCCAGAGATTCTTCCACCCTAGGGAGTGGATATGCATCTCTATGGGTCACACTATTTAACTTCCTATAGTCACAGCAGAACCGGACCGCCACGTCCTTTTTCATAACGATGACTGCTGGTGAAGCCCATGGGCTGCAACTCTATTTCAAGATGCCTTGAGCTACATGGTCTTGCACATGGCGCTTAACCTCTTTGTAACACATGAGGTGGAATTCTGCGGTGTCGTTGTTTAATGGGATGGGCGTCACCCGTTGGGACCGTTGGGAGCGGTTGCTTGCGAGACGGACCGTCCTCTCTGGCAAGCAACCGCACCGGAACCTGAACAGGCTGCGCAGATCGGCAAGGACATTCATCCTCAGTATTCCTGGCACTTCGCCAGGCCCCTTTCCACTGGTTGCATCGTCCCG